CAGTTAATCCCAGTCCCTCCCAGTTTGGCGCTGCTGGCGGCCGTCTCGGAGCTCTTGGGGGAGGGGGCGGCGCCGCTGCTGCCCCGGGCGCTGCCCGTCCTGCAGGGGGCGCTGCGGCCCCCGCCGCCGCCGGTGAGTACTGGTTTGGACTGGTTTGGACTGGTTTGGACTGGTTTGGACTGGGTTGTGGTCTGGGGTTACTGGTTTGGACTGGGAGGGATCTGGGATAAACTGGGAGGGGACTGGGAGGGGGTTAAAGGGTTAAACATGGGGGGGAATGGGGATTTGGGGTTACTGGTTTGTACTGGTTTGGGGTCTGGGGTTACTGGTTTGGACTGGGAGGGGACTAGGAGGGGATTAAAGGGTTAAACATGGGGGGAAATTGGGGAAAATGGGACCATACTGGTCCATACTGGTTTGTACTGGTCCATACTGGTTTGTACTGGTCCATACTGGTTTGTACTGGTCCCTATCCCCCCCCAGCCCCCCTCCGACGCCCCTGATTGGCTGCTGAATCTCCATGACGACCACGAGGGGGAGGAGCCTATGGAGGACGACAGCGCGGAGTGGGAGGAGCCTCAGGAGTGAGTGGGCGTGGCCTCAATGTGCTGGGCGTGGGTTGATGCTCCAGCCACGCCCATTTATGGTCATGCCACGCCTCCGCAGGGTGGAAATGGGCGGAGCTTTCCCCGGATTGGCCGAGGCGGCGCTGGGGGCGCTGGGGGAGCTGGCGGAGAACTGCGGGTAACTGGTTTATACTGGTTTATACTGGTTTGTACTGGTTTGGGCTGGTTTGGGGTTACTGGTTTATACTGGGAATGAACTGGGAGGGACTGGGGGTTACTGGGATGAACTGGGAGGGGGTTTGGGGTTACTGGTTTGTACTGGGATGGGGTCTTTGCCTTACTGGTTTATACTGGGATGAACTGGGAGGGGATCCAAGGTTACTGGTTTATACTGGTTTGGGGTCCGGGGTTACTGGGGGTTACTGGTTTATACTGGGAGGGAACTGGGAGGGGGTTTGGGGGTTGCTGGTTTGTACTGGTTTGTACTGGTTTGGGGTTTGGGGTTACTGGTTTATACTGGGATGGAATGGGAAGGAACTGGGAAGTCCCTGGGTGGGTGGGTACTGGTTTATACTGGTCCATACTGGTCCATACTGGTCCATACTGGTCCATACTGGTCTATACTGGTTTATACTGGTCCATACTGGTTTATACTGGTCCATACTGGTTTATACTGGTTTATACTGGTCCCCAGCTCCGCCCTCCTGCCCTACCTGGACTCCTCCCTCTCCGCCATCTTGGATCTGACCCAGGTGAGCCCCTCCCAGTTCATCCCAGTACAAACCAGTTCATCCCAGTACAAACCAGTAACTCCCAGTCCCTCCCAGTTCCCGCTGTGCCAGCTCAGAGCCGCCGCCTACGAGGCCCTGGGGAGCGTCTGCTGCTGCGGGAGGGAGCGCCAGACTGGTTTGTACTGGTTTATACTGGTTTGGGCTGGTTTGTGCTGGTTTGGACTGGTTTGTACTGGTTTGTGCTGGGAGGGACCAGGAGGGGCTGACTGGGAGGGGGTTTAGGGTTGACTGGGAGGGAACTGGGTTATACTGGGATGAACTGGGAGGGATTGAAATGGGTCCGTACTGGTCCCTACTGGTTTATACTGGTCTGTACTGGTCCGTACTGGTCCATACTGGTTTGTACTGGTCTGTACTGGTCCATACCGGTCCGTACTGGTTTATAGTGGTTTGTACTGGTCCATACTGTTCCATACCGGTCCATACTGGTCCATACTGGTCCGTACTGGTCCCTACCGGTCCGTACTGGTCCGTACCGGTCCGTACTGGTCCATACTGGTTTGTACTGGTTTCCCTTCCAGCCCCCTCCCCCGTCCACCAGGGGGCGCTCCAGGCCCTCCTGAAGGGGCTCCGGACGGACCCGGAAGTGGGCGGGGCCTTGGGGGCGGTGGGCGGGGTCGGGAGGATCCTGCAGCCCCCAGGCCACGCCCACAAGGAGTGGCTGGAGCCCATTGGACGAGCCCTGTGTGACGTCATCGCCGGGGAGGTGAGGGGGCGGAGCGGTAACGTGAAGGGGAGGAGCTTAATGACATTAAAGAGGTGGGAGGGGCCTAAAATCGGGTGGGTGGGGCTTAATGAGGCATTGAGGGGATTGTGGGAGTGGCTTAAGACCAGTGGGTGGGGCTTAAAGGGTTGTGGGCGTGGCTTAAGTCAGGTTTAAATGAGGTGGGTGCGGCTTAAGTGTTTGACCAAAGGGGTGTGGCCTGTGTGGGGCGTGGCTCAACAAGCTCCTCCCCCTTCCAGATCGCCTGTCTGAGATCGCGGGGGGACGGCGACGAGGACGAGGTGGGGGAGGGGCTCCCAGTTCAAACCAGTTCAGCCCGGTGCGATCCCAGTCCCTCCCAGTTCGATCCCAGTTTGATCCCAGTCCATCCCACTTACATCCCAGTTCATCCCAGTATAAACCAGTTTGATCCCAGTCCCTCCCAGCTCCCTCCCCGGGACCTCCCAGTATAAACCAGTCCCTCCCAGTTTGATCCCAGTTTGATCCCAGTCCCTCCCAGTCCCTCCCAGTTTGATCCCAGTTTGATCCCAGTCCCTCCCAGTCCCTCCCAGTTTGATCCCAGTTTGATCCCAGTCCCTCCCAGTTTGATCCCAGTCCATCCCAGTTTAATCCCAGTCCATCCCAGTTTAATCCCAGTCCATCCCAGTTTAATCCCAGTCCATCCCAGTTTAATCCCAGTCCATCCCAGTTTAATCCCAGTCCATCCCAGTTTAATCCCAGTCCATCCCAGTCCCTCCCAGTTTGATCCCAGTTTAATCCCAGTCCAACCCAGTCCCTCCCAGTTGGATCCCAGTCCATCCCAGTTTGATCCCAGTCCCTCCCAGT